CAAGCAAACATGTAATTAATTGTATGTATAAAAAGGAACAAAACAAGGAAAGGATTATTTTTAAAAATAAGCAGACAAACTGGTTGCTCTGTTTACATTCATATGTTACAATGAAATATTACATAGCCTTAAAAAGGAAAAAAATTCTGACAAATACTATAACCGGGATGAAACTCAAAAACATTATGCTAAATTAAGTCAGTCATAAAAAGACAAATACTGTATAATTTCACTTACACAAGGTACCTAGAATAGTCAAAGTCATAGAAAGAGAAAGTAAAATGGTGGTTGTCAGACCTTGGAGGTAGGGGAAACAGAGGAATTATTATTTAATATTTGTAGTATTTCAGTTTTGCAAGATGAACAGAGTTCTTGTGATTAGTTCCATAACAATGTGAAAGTATTTGGCACACTACTGAACAAGACACTTTAAAACTATTAAAATGGTAAATGTTATGTTTTGTGTATTTTATCACAATTAAAAATAAAAAATAGAAAAAAAATCTTTTAAACACCTTAAGTGCTATTCCTGTAGTGTGAAATTTACTTGCCCAAGATCAGACTGGCTAGAACTCTAGAGACTGAATCCAGATATTTGGGGTCACCTTGTGCTAAGAGTATTTGCTCATCTCAAAAAGGCTACTCATATTCTTGATGGCACATTAGAAAGTTTTTTGCAAAGAAAAAGACAAAAATAAGTATGTAGATATAATTTCTAGGTATTTGATACAGTATCTATCTAGCATCTCCCAAATATCTATTTTTCCTGATATATCTGAAGCTAAGGCAATCCTGGATTTTAATTATTTTTCAAATAAAACATTGAGCACACTTAATAGGCATATATTAAATATAAATGAGAAATAAAAGAAATAAACCTATAGAAACTTCTTTTAATATATTGAAATTATCCATCACATAGCATAAAATAGCCATGCTGACTATGTTTAGTAAGATAAAAGCCAAGATCAACAAGTTCAAGAGAAATGGAAATTATAAAAAGTAACATAAAATATGTAAAAAAAAAAACAAAACCAGAAATCCTAAAATTAAAAACATATAACTAAAAGTAAGAGTTCAGAGAAGGAATTAACAACAAAAAAAAATTAAGCGTTTGAAGTTATGTTAGAGAAAACTTATCAAGAATAAAGCATCGGAAACTAATGAAGAGAAAGAAATACAGAACAGAGAGTGGATAGAAAGTTTTTAACATGTATTAAAAAGCAATTCCAAGAGAAAGAAGAAATAGAGAACGAAGAAAAAGCAAATTTTGAGAAATAACAGCTGAGGACTCTCTAAAACTGAAGATAGACATCAATTCACATATTCAAGAAATTCAAAGACTCCTACCTAGAATAAGATTGAAATTCCCCTTTACAAATCAATGAAGGGGTTGTAGGGACCTAAATTATGCTAAGGCATAGGCCTAGGCCTAACTAAAAATAATAATAATAGTCAGCATACTGTTCTTCTGTTTACTTCTCTATAATTGCTACTTTGGAATCACATAGTCATCATAAAGATTCTTTTTTTGTTTGTTTGTTTTTTAGAGACAGAGTCTCACTTTGTTGCCCTTGGTAGAGAGCTGTAGTGTCACTGGCGCCACCCAAGATTCTTAACTTTCTCCAAGGATAACATCAACTTTTAAAAGCCTAAAGATAGTTTCTGAGATATCTTCCAGGCCCCACATTCCAGTGGAATGGCTGATTCTCCAGATCAGTGGCTCATACCAAAAAACTGATTCAACTGGTCTTAGGTGACCCCTCACCTAAGAACTAACTCTGCAAAGAAGATAATTTCTCCACCCCTATGGTTCCCCCATGAACCCAACCAATTAGCAGATCCAATTACTTAGCCTTTTGCCTACCAAGGGTTTTTAAATCTTTCTCCTAAATTTTCAAGGAGATAAATTTGAGGAATTCCTTCCATCTCCTCATCTGGCTTCTGCTATATTAAACCCTTTCTCTGCTGTAACACCTTGCTGTGTCAGTGTATTGGCTTCCTCTTGAGCAGCAGACTATGAACCTGATTGGGGGGGTAATAAGAAGATGAAAAAGGAGGAGGAAAAAGAAAAGGTGAGAAAAGAGGGAGGAAGAAAGGAAGGAGGGAGGGAGCGAAGGGAGGGATAAAAAGAATGAAAAAGATGTAATAAATTCCTAACTTAAAAAATCATGTTGAACCTGCAGAAGAAAAAGGACAAAGAAAACCTTTAAAAGTGGCCAGAGAAAAGGGGAAATTATCTTCAGAAAAACAAAATTTCATTATGTTGCTAGCTTCTTCAGCACAGTTACAGAACCCAGAAGATGTGGAATGATAATTTCAAGTTGAAAATAATCATCAATAGAGAAGTACATATTTAGAAATATTGTCTTCAAAAATAAGTATAAAATCAGCTTAGTACCTATAGCTCAGCCACTAGAGCACCACCTACATACAATGGGGCTGGGTTTGAACCTGGCCAGGCCTCCCAAACAACAATGATAACTACACACACACAAAAAAAAAAATAGCCAGGCATTGTGGCAGGCACCTGTAGTCCCAGCTACTTGGGAGGCTGAGGCAAGAGAATCCCTTAAGCCCAGGAGTTGGAGGTTGCTGTGAGCTGTGACTCCACAGCCCTCTACCAAGGGCGACACCATACTCTACTGAGACCAACATAGTGAGACTCTTGTCTCAAAAGAAAAAAAAGTATAAAATCAAAACATTTTCGGGCAAATAAACACTAAGAAAATTTGACATGAGATTTACCTTAAAAAGAAAAAAAAAAGTTTGTTAGTTAAACCAAAGAAAAATTATTCTAGTTATGGCAGTTGAGATTCAGGAATGAGCGAAGAGGAATAAAAATGGTAAATATATGACTGTGAATAAACATATGGACATTATATAGGTAAGTAGGATAAAACTTGTAAGGAATAAAGAAAATATAGAGTTAAAATACATGGCACCAATAGCTTGTAAGAAAGAGATGTGGCAAATGGAGCTAAGATGTTCTAAGGGCCTTACATTTTTCAGGACAGCAAAAGCATCAGTCAGCGTTAGATTTCATAGTTTATTGCTGCATGTTATAATCTAGAGTAACCACTAAGAGTATATGACTCAAAAAGCGTACAACTCCCAAAATAACAGAGATAGAAAATAATAATTTCAAAAACAACCAATCTGAAAGAAAACAACACAGGAAGAAAAAAGAGAAAAACATAGAACATGCTGGAGGAAATATAAACCACATAGTAAAATGATAGATTTAGAACTATATACATGGAGAATTACCATAAAAGTAAATAGATTAAATTTTTAACCTAAAAGCTGGATTGCCATATTGGATTTTTCAAAATTTAACTATATGTTGTTTTTAAGTAGAACATATAAAACATAGAGATAAAAAAAATCAAAACTACAGTGAAAGATTAAAAAAGGAAATACATTATAATATTAAAGAAATTTAGTATATCTTTTTTTTTAAGTGCATCTTTTTTAATATCAGGAGAAAAAGTAAAGCCAAAAGCATTGCTCACGTTAAAGAAAGTGACTTCATAATGATTAAAAAAATTAATTTGCTAGGCTCGGCACCTGTAGCTCAAGCAGCTAAGGTGCCAGCCAAATGTACCACAGCTAGCAGGTGCGAATCTGGTCTGGGCCTGCCAAACAACAATGACAGCTACAACCAAAAAATAGCCAGGCATTGTGGCAAGTGCCTGTAGTCTCAGCTACTTAGGAAGCTGAGGCAAGAAAATTGCTTAAGCCCAGGAGCTGGAAGTTGCTGTGAGCTGTGATGACACAGCACTCTACCCAGGGTGACAGCTTGAGACTCTGTCTCAAAAATAATAATAACAATAATGATAATAGTTTGCCAACTATGAGTAATAATTCTAATATTGTATGTACTTAATCCAAGGCTTTAAAATGCAGGTATCTCTTTCAATATGAAGTTTCAACATCCAGATATTTGCTAAACCAACCTACAAAAATGTTTATCCAAATTTCTACTCAAGGTGGAAAAATATGCTTGAATCTGCACATGTGTCATAGCAAAAACTATAAAAGTTGCTCATGAGTCCAGGTGAGAAGATGTGCAGTACTACCAACCTCTCAATCCTTTCCCCAGTTGCTTAATGCTTCATAGGCTGCTGCCACCTACTGCCAGACATCTTGAACAGGAATCAAGCCAGGCTCAGTTTAGGTGGTGGGTTCTTTTTTTTTTCTTGTATTATGCTATTTTCAGTGCAATGGAAAAGAATGACATACTTTTTATCATATATTGTGCAACGTGCACAAATATACTCACTAATAAGTTCAATATTTATTAAATAATTATGTAATTTGTTTTAAAGTATTTTATATTCACTGGACAAGAGACATGAACCTTCTCTGAAGAAGACAGATGAATGCCAAAAGAAACATATGAAAATACGCTCATCATCTCTAATATCAGAGAAATATAAATAAAAACCACCGTGATGTATTACCTAACTTCAAAGAGATTACTGCACATCGCAAAGTCCCAAAGCTACAAAGGCTGGCATGGATGTGGAGAGAAAGGAACATTCTTATATACTGTTGGTGAAACTGCAAACTAATATAGTGTCTTTGAAAGAAGTATGGAGAATCCTCTAAGACCTCAAAATAGACCCCCCATTTTGATTCTGAAATCCTATTACAAAGCATCTACCCAGAAGAAAAAGAAATCATTTTATCAAAAGGACTTTTGCACTAGATTGTTTATCACAGCTCAATTCACAATCACCAAGATGTGAAAACAACACAAGTGTCCATCAACCCATGAAGGAATTAATATGTACACCAGTCAATTCTATTTAGCCATTAAAAAAATGAAGACTTTACATCTTTTGTATTAACCTGGATAAAGTTGGAGAACATTCTCTTTAGTAAAGTATCGCAAGAATGGAAAAACAAGCATCCAATGTACTCAAGGATTACATGCAATTTATAAAAAGAAATTATCATCTCATGATAGGTCCCAGTTTTAATGGTGTCAGTGCTCATAACTGAATCTTCTTCATTTCACATACTGAAAGCCTCTTACTGTCACAGAAAACATCATTCCAGCCCCAGTTTCCAGGTTTCCAGAAAACTATTGTAGCACACTGCTCTCCAGAAGAATTGGGCTCATTTGGGTGCCATAATCTAAAGGAAAACAAAAGGTAGAAACATTTCTTCAGTGAATATATAGTAACTGATCAGAAAGTATAGAGGTTTAGGGTTGAATAGAATGGAGTTTAGGGTGAGAGAACATTACAACAATCTTTCCCCTTTCTCAAGTATCAACACACACATTTATGTTGTTCCTCTAACATCCTCCTCCTGGCAAAACTTTTCTAAAATGGTATACTCTTGGACCTTTTCTCTTCAATCTAATCTTCACTTCCTCTTCTTTTCAGAGTCCTTACCCTGACTTAGGTTATTGAACAATCCCTTTCTTACTGATGAGTAGTACAGAGCCTGTCTCCTTATCTCCATGTACTCTTCCTAAATATCTCTATCCTTATGGAGCTGCCTTAAATGAGTGTTAGGGTGCCTGAGTTTGGATATAAGGAGTTGCTCTGCTTCCAAGGAACACAGTCTATGTTAGGAGGTGGGATTTGTACATTATATTTGGAGATAAAAGGCCTGGTTTTGCTACTTATTCATTTTGACCTTGATCCAGTAATATAATCACTCCAGGCATTAAATTCCTCATTTATAAAAATGAGAATCACAATAAGTTCCCTAAATAACTCACAAGATTGTGTGAGAATCAAATAAGGTAACATACAAAGTAGATCTTTTCTTAAAGGCCAAAAATAAACAGTAGTATTATGTAATTATTCTACTAGAATTGTACATATTTCTGACGCTGATATTTTGAATCTTTTAGTTAAAGACAAATGGTTAACAGGGACCTCTAATTGGAGGCAATTAGACATGGGTTCAGACCCAGTTTCTCATTTTATTTGTTGACTGGAATTCTGGGAAGATGGCTGACTGGGAGTAACCCACAGCAGAGGCTCCTGGGGAGAGGAAGAAAAACTGGATCAGACTCTATGAAGCCAAAGGTGGGGACCTGAGCCAAGAAAGAAGTGTGGCAAGCTATAATTCCAAGAAAGAACATTCAAGAAAACAAATCATAGGTACAAAGCCTATCAACTAGAGGATGGGAGATCCCTTCCCCAAGCCGGAGGCCTGCCACTGGCTATCTGCAAATGAGCAGGGAAAAAAACATGTCTCATTTTACCTTGCTGGAGAGAGCTGCTAAATTCTAGGGGTTTTTTTTTTGTTTGTTTGTTTTTGTTTTTCAGAGAGGTCCCTCTTATAAACCTAGACACCGCTCTGCCAGGCATAAAATTGAACAGATATTTTCCCCAACTAGTCCAAACTCCAAGTCCACCTATTCCCCCTTGCATGGAGATCTGAAGTTCTGTCCCCTGCAGACCACAGAGTGTTTGGTCTTGTCCTGAGGGACCTGGACATAGTGTAGACTGCCAACCATCAGGACATAATCTGTGACTAATGGAAAAGAAAGAGGGTGTGGGGAAAAAAGGACACTTGGTGGGGGGAGGAACAGTCTCCTAGTTATGACTATGCCCAGCCACTGGTCATGTTGACCCTCAGTTTGGGCTGTGCCTGGCTGGATGGAGTGCAGAACCCTTGGCTCTGATGGCACCCACAGTGGGACAGTGGTTGCTCCAGGTGGACTGAGTTTTGCAGACAGGGCTGGTCCCCAGCCCCTGCAGGGCCTGAAAGGAGAGACTTGCTAGGTGTGGACTAAGACCTAAGAGCAAGGGTGTGGCCCCCTGATTTCAACAGAACCCTCAAGCAGTAACTTATGGGGTGTGAACCAAGACCTGAGGGCTAGTGCTAGGGTGTGGCCCCTTGTCTCCAGTGGGGCTGGTGAACAGAAGCTTACCGGGTGAGGATTGAGACCTGCAGGTGGAGTGCAGTACCCTGACTCTAACAGAGCCTGTGAACAGAAGCTTGCCAGGGAGTGGACTGAGACTAGCAGGCAGGGGCATGGTCCCCTGACTCCAACTAGTCTGGCAAGCAGAGGATAGCTGGGTATGGACTGAGACTGGAGGGAGGGGCCTGGTGCCCTGACTCTAACAGAGCTTGCAGACAGAGGCTTGCCAGGCAGTGGACTGAGACTAGCAGGTGGGGGTGTGGTCCTCACACCAACTGGTCTGGTAAATAGAGGCTAGCTGGGTGTGGACTGAGACTGGTGGGTGGGGACATGGCCCCTGGCTCCAACTGGGCCTGTGACCAGAGAAGTGGACAACAGTGTGGATTGAGTCTCATAGGCGAGAGTGTGGATCCCTGGCTCCAAATGTACTATTGGAAACCCTTGAATCCCTCTCTGTTGACCAGGATTTGTACCGCCTGAGTCAATTTAATTGGAGTCCATGTCTACTGTCCACTCAGGGACATTCTGAGGTTGACCTTCAAAGTTCTGTACTGGAAAAGAACTGAAGAGTGGGGGCTTGGCACTGCAGCTGTTTGTATCTCTTCATAGTAGAGATTTAAATCTAATAGTGTGGTTTCTTAGGATAGGGTAGAGGTTGGCTGATACCAAAACAGAGCTGACCTGCAGTATATCACCAAGCAGGTCCTCAGAGTCTCTGGCCAAAACTCTGAAAGGGGCTTTTCTAAGGTTGTAGGAGATAAGCCACAATTACAAAGCCTAGAGCTTTGCTAAGGGGCTATCTCTACTACCTGGAAACCCCAATTCAATCTCACCCTACCAGTTCCAATAACCAAACAGTGGAAAATAAACATGGCACAGACCCAACAGAAGAATTCTGGCAACATGAATAACCAGAGTAGATCAACCTCCCCAAGAAATGACAAAGCAGATACAACTGAAGATGCCATGGATAGACAAATGGCAGCAATGTCAGAAATTGAATTCAGAATATGAATTGCAAATAAGATAAAGAGAATGGAAGAAAAGATAGAAATTGAATTCCAAATAGTAGTTCTAAAGTTGTCTCAAGAAATTAATGAATTCAAAGCCCAAGACACCAAAGATATATGGACATAATGAGAAAAGAGAGAGCAGAGGTAAGGAAATGAAGAAGTTAGTTGAAGAGCTCCAAAATACAGTGGAACCCCTCAGTAATAGAGTTGACTAGGCAGAAGAAAGGATCTCTGAAACTGAGGACAAAGCTTTTGAACATTCCCAAACACTCAAAGAGGCAGACAAATGGAGAGCAAAAACTAATCATTCCCTGACAGAGTTGTGGGATCACTCCAAAAGATCAAACATTCATCTTATAGGAATTCCTAAAGGAGAAGAGGATGGTCCTAACGGTACAGATGCTCTCCTCCAAGATATTTTGGAGGAGAATTTCCCAAGCATTGCAAGAGATACAGAACTTCAGATAGCAGACAGTTTCATAAGCCCAGCAAGACTCAATCCAAATAAAGCATCTCCTAGACACATTGTGATTAACTTTGCCAAAGTTAAGATGAAGGAGAAAATTCTGCAGGCAGCCAGATGTAAGAAAAGCATCACCCACAAAGGGAGAAATTTCAGAATGACTGCAGATCTCTCAGCCAAAACATTTCCAGCCAGAAGAAGATGGTCATTGACCTTCACTCTCCTAAAACAAAACAAATTCCAGCCCAGGATCCTCCATTCAGCTAAACTGAGTTTCATTTGTGATGGAGAAATCAAATGCTTTAATGACATTAATGACATAGACATGTTGAAGAAATTTGTCATAACTAAACCAGCTCTACAGGATATTCTCAGACCCATCCTCCACAATGACCAATGCAATGCTCTACTTCCAAAGTAAACTCACCCAGAAATTTTTGAATAAAACCCAACTTTTACAGTGGTGAAAGGATTAAAATTGTCCACTGAACATCCGAAAATCATGACACCCAAAACACAACCAGGCTTATCAATTCTCTCAATTAATGTGTTTAAATTGTCCTCTAAAGAAGCACGGGCTGGCTGACTGGATACATAAACTCAGACCGGATATGTGTTGTATACAAGAATCACACCTGACCTTAAAGGATAAAAATAGACTCAGGATGAAGGAATGAACCTTTATAATACAGGCAAATAAAACCTGAAAAAAGCAGAGGTTGCAATTTTAGTAGCAGATACAATTGGCTTTAAACCAACAAAGATAAAGAAAGATAAGGAAAACACTGCATATTTGTCAAGGGAAACACACAACATGGCAGAGATTTTGATAATTGACATTTATGCACCCTACCACAATGCTCCTCAATTCATAAAGCAGACCCTAATGGATATGAACAACTTGATATCATCCTGCACTATAATAGTTGGAGATTTTAACACCCTTTTGACAGTTTTAGATAGATCCTCCAAGAATAAATTAAACAAAGAAATATTAGACTTAAAATTGACCCTAGAACAAATGGGCTTTATAGAAATCTACAGAACATTTCACCCTAATAAAACTGAATATACATTCTTCCCATCAGCCCATGGGTCATACTCCAAAATAGATCATATCCTAGGTCACAAGTCTAACCTCAGCAAACTTAAAAGTATAGAAATTATTCCTTGTATCTTCTCAGACCACCATGGAATAAAAGTTGTACTCAACAGCAACAGGAATCTTCATACTCAAAGAAAGTCATGGAAGCTAAATAATCTTAGGCTGAATTATACCTGGATCAAAGATGAGACTAAGAAGGAAATCACCAAATTTTTTAAACTAAATGATAACAAAGACACAAATTATCAAAACCTGTAGGATATGGCAAAGGCAGTCCTAAGAGGGAAATTTATAGCATTGGAAGCCTTCATGAAGAAAACAGAAAGAGAGGAAGCCAACAACTTAATGGATCATCTCAAGTGACTAGAAGAAGAACAATCCAACCCTAAACCCAGCAAAAGAAAGAAAATAACAAAATTAGAGCAGAATTAAATGAAATTGAAAACAAAAGAATCATTCAGAAGATAAACAAAACAAAAGTTGGTTTTTTGAAAAGATTAACAAAATTGATAAACCTTTGGCCAACCTAACCAGAAATAGAAAAGTAAAATCTCTAATATCATCTAACAGAAATGATAAAGGAGAAATAACAACAGACACTTCAGAAATTCAAAAAATCCTCAATGATTACTATAAAAATCCTTATTCCCAGAAATTGAAAATCTGAAG